CTGCTGTCCCAATCAACTGTTAAGGGGCTTCGGGCACAAAAAAATTTTAAGGGCGTTAACAAGACCTGTTATTCCCCCCACATTTCAATCGGCCTGAAGCCGATTTGTCCCCTCTAAGAAGCCAGCGGCCCCGCCAGACGCGGGGCCGGGGCTATTTAGCAGGTTTAAGGTCTCGTTTCGTTATCGCAATTAAGCAGACAAATCACTCCACCAACTAAGAACGGCCATGCACCACCATCCCAAAAGATCAAGAAAGAGCTCTCAATCTGTCAATCCTTATTTTGTCTGGACCTGGTGAGTTTCCCCGTGTTGAGTCAAATTAAGCCGCAGGCTCCACGCCTTGTGGTGCCCTTCCGTCAATTTCTTTAAGTTTCAGCCTTGCGACCATACTCCCCCCAGAACCCAAAAACTTTGATTTCTCGTAAGGTGCCGAACGGGTCATCATATGAACCCCGTCCGATCCCTAGTCGGCATAGTTTATGGTTAAGACTACGACGGTATCTGATCGTCTTCGATCCCCTAACTTTCGTTCACTGATTAATGAAAACATCCTTGGCGAATGCTTTCGCAGTAGTTAGTCTTCAGCAAATCCAAGAATTTCACCTCTGACAGCCGAATACTGACGCCCCCGACCATCCCTATTAATCATTACGGCGGTCCTAGAAACCAACAAAATAGAACCACACGTCCTATTCTATTATTCCATGCTAATGTATCCGAGCAAAGGCCTGCTTTGAACACTCTAATTTTTTCACAGTAAAAGTCCTGGTTCCCCCCACAGCCAGTGAAGGCCATGGGGCTTCCCAGAAGGAAAGGTCCGGCCGGACCAGTGCACGCGGTGAGGCGGACCGGCCAGCCAGACCCAAGGTTCAACTACGAGCTTTTTAACTGCAACAACTTTAATATACGCTATTGGAGCTGGAATTACCGCGGCTGCTGGCACCAGACTTGCCCTCCAATTGTTCCTCGTTAAGGGATTTAGATTGTTCTCATTCCAATTACAAGACCCGAAAGAGCCCTGTATCAGTATTTATTGTCACTACCTCCCCGTATCGGGATTGGGTAATTTGCGCGCCTGCTGCCTTCCTTGGATGTGGTAGCCGTTTCTCAGGCTCCCTCTCCGGAATCGAACCCTAATTCCCCGTTACCCGTTGCCACCATGGTAGGCCACTATCCTACCATCGAAAGTTGATAGGGCAGAAATTTGAATGAACCATCGCCGGCGCAAGGCCATGCGATTCGATAAGTTACTATGAATCACCAAGGAGCCCCGAAGGGCATTGGTTTTTTATCTAATAAATACACCCCTTCCGAAGTCGAGGTTTTTAGCATGTATTAGCTCTAGAATTACCACGGGTATCCAAGTAGTAAGGTACTATCAAATAAACGATAACTGATTTAATGAGCCATTCGCAGTTTCACCGTATAGTTTGCTTATACTTAGACATGCATGGCTTAATCTTTGAGACAAGCATATGACTACTGGCAGAATCAACCAGGTAGCTGACTTCCGGACCCGGCGGCCAGGGCCCCCGGGTCTAAACCCCCGGAGGGGGCAGGAGTAGCTAGACGGAAGGGGTTCCCGCGAAGGAACCCGCCGCGCGCAACCCAGCGGCGTACCGCGCAGGCTGCCCGAACGGCATTCGATTGCCCCCACTGAGATTTTCAGAGGACGGTCCGCGGCAGGATCGTGTGCCGGCCCGCGAGGGCGAACACGGGCTGCCGCATCGGTCCCTCCGATGGAGGATCACCGCCCCGGACACGCTGGCGAGCAGCGGATTCCGGGCCGGCCTTTCCCCCGGGAATCTGATATGAACGTTAGCCAGCGGCCAACAGTCGACAGACCCCAACCGGAACCGGAGCCGCGAGGGACTCCGGGGTTTCGAACGCCCGCGACGCACGCCCCGTCCCGCCGGTGGAGGAGGGTGGGGGCAGATGCGCCGCGAACGCTCAAGCTGACCGGCGGTCGAAGGGGCCACCGGCGGTGCCGATGGCGCCCTAGAACTCTGCATCTCTCAGCAGAATCCATGACAGAAGAATTCACACTTCAAATCAGAATCAAGTCTGTCCAGAGTTGCTGGGCAAAAATACACTCTGGAAACCCAACAGTCACTCTTATATTACACTTTTTGCAAGAGACAGCAGTAAACCTGCCATCAAAAGTGGAACTATATGGATATCAAAGACCAGTGATCAGAAAGACATCTAAGGTCAAAATACAACAATGCAGCAAATGCTGGGGATTTCATCAAGAGAGATACTGCCTCTGCATCCCTCACTGCAAAAAATGCAGTTCTAAGAATCATGTGAAAGAAAATCCATTCTGTCAT